TGGCGGCGCTCAGCTCGCTCGAGGCCGTGCGCAGGAAGATCCGTGGCCTGCAGGAGCAGGCGGACGCGGCCGAGGAGCGCGCCGGCCGCCTCCAGCGCGACGTGGACCACGAGCGCGCGCTGCGCGAGGAGGTAGCGGCGGCACCGCGGCTCTCCCGCAGCGAACCGGGGCCGGGAGCGGACGGACCGGGGAGGGGGCCCGGGGTTGCGCAGAGGCGGCTGCGGAGCGCGGGGCTGAACGGGAGCCGCCCTGGCAGAGCCGCGGCTGCCCTCATCGCTCCGAGCCATGGAATCGCTGCTTTTTGGGGCAAATGTGGCCTGAAAGGCGCTCTGCTGTTCGCTCGTGTGAGCGCCGTGCCTGCCGGGGTCGCTATGTGTGTAGGGACGGAGGAGAAGGCCCCGGCGGCAGGAGTGATTGGGGGCAGCGATCGTAGTGAAAAACGATGGCAGAGGATCTTTGTTACTTAGCCTTGCTGTTAACCCCGGGTGACGGCAGCACCGTGGGGTGTCCTGCCCTCCTTCCGTGTAGCTGGTGTCCTTAGGGTCGCTCCGGCGGGAACGGTGGAGCCGGGAATGCCGGGTGTCCCCGGGACGGCAAGGCCGGGGCTCCGCGTGCGCCGGCCCTGCCCTGCTGCCCGTGCCGGCTCCCGCGGCATTCCTGGGGATCCGCTCCGTGCTGAGGCGGCCGCCGGCCGCGCTGCCCCGCGGGTCGCTATGCAGCGGCAACGGGCAGCTTGGGATCGGGAGGTTGTCCCTGGCTCCGGTGCCGGGAGGAGCSGCTGCGGTTCCCAGGCCTCTCGCCATCGGAGCGGCCCCGGGCTCAGTATCCCGCAGCAGCCGCGTCGTGGCCTGCGGGCACGGGGGCTTCGTTTGGAGGAGACCCTTCCCGAGGTGGAATAGCGCAGGAAGGCGCCGTGGAGCGTTGGGCTCTTCCTCTGCGGGCAAAAAACRCACGAGCAACGGGAGGGCTGAGGCTGCGGCCAAGGCGCCTCGCTGCTGCGGCCTCTGATGGCGAAACCAGAGCCTTGCGAGAGGCAGAACCGCTTCCAGCAGCCCCCTTGAGAACGCCCTAGGTCCTGAGCGGGAGTTTCAAGGTGCTGTTAGCGCTCGCGTGTTCACAGCCCCTAATTCCTGCCTCACTGATAGGATTAGTGGAAAACGCTCTCTCTTGGAGCAGTGGCAATTAACCCCCCATCGTTGTCTATCCGTCATCTCTCATTGTGAAAGTATGCGGTGCTGCCGGGGAGTGCCCTGTGTCACTGGGGTTTTTCCTTCCTGGCCATAAAAGGAGAAAGTCCCKCTCTGCACAGCAGTAATTTGGGCCATATAAGGGTAGTCGGCAACCCTCCCTGCGTTGCTGCTGGTGGAGCAGGAAGTAAAAACCTGAACTTTAGTCGCCCTCCGATTTCTGGGCTTGTCGCGCGCTGTTATCCGGATGAGAAGTCGTAAYGTGACAATAATTAACTTGGAACGTTACTCATTCCCCCAGGAGTAATGTTTGGTCTCTTCCTGCCCCCCAAAGTTCCCTCGTTGCTCAGCTCAGGGTGTTTGGATCCTTACTCCTTAAAACTGGAGATCTAAAAATGTAAATTTGGAGTCCTACTGTTCTATGGCACAGCTGGATAAAGACGTTATATTGGAAATAACAGGGGTGGGTCTGCAGGGATCTTTTCTAGTCCTGCTTCCACCTGTACCTTTGTAGATGTATTACAAATATATATGCAAATKTATATTTGCAGATCTGTTGTCTGTTGTGTAAGTTCTTCTCGCTGGTGTTTTGTATAGCAAAAACCATAACTTGGCCAAGTCTATCCAAATTCCTCTAGCTAGCATAAACAACTAGTAAGTTCCTTAAATTTTCAGTGAAAGAAGAAAAAAAAGGTACCAAGCTGATACTTTTGGTATGAGAGGAATTTAGGCTCCCATCCCTGCCCCCTACTAATTAGATAGTATAAGAAACACTGAATTTGTACTTCCCCATACCTGAGGAGATAGTTTCCAATAGAAACCAAGAGTAATTTCCTTTTAAGGATAGCTCTTTTGAAGAACTCTTTGGTCCTAACATTCTTTTGAAAGAAACTCAAGTTTAATAGAGAGGTTGCCTTAAGAAGCCTGAAGTTAGAGAGCTTTAAGCAAGCGCAAGCTGGAGGATGTCAGAGGTAGAAGCTTGAGGATGAGAGAGGTTAGTTAGTTAGGGGTTAGGAGAGTGCTGGGGATGTACGAAGGGCTGAGCMAAGGCTGGTGCAAGCGAGGGGGGTTTGAGGGAAGCGTGGACGGGTTTTTGGAGCAATGGGCATGTTGAGGTGGCCGCCGCCGGCTCCGGGGCCCCTCCGTGTGCAGCCCGCACCGGAGCTGCCCCTGCAGCTCTGCATCTCACCTGTGCACGAAGCTTGGGGCGCCCAGCGGCTCGGGTGTTTCTTCCGTGTCCTCGTGCACTCTCTGTGTGAACCCTGTCACTGCACATGCCGATACGCGGGCTGTGTTTTCACGTATCTGCCTTAAACCTTAATGAAACCAAGGGAATGCTTGGGAAACCATGGTACAGCATTTTTTGTCCAACTATGGCCTAAGGTCAGAGTTAAAGAATTTGCTTTCAGAGTAGATTATTAAGGAGAACATGGAAGAATTGGGTAACTTGAATATTGTTTGTGTTCATTTTTTTAATAAAAAGTTCAAACTTGCAAATACAATAACAGAAAATATTYAGAGATTGGTGTATAATTCCTCTAGCATTGTTCTCCCTAGCACAAAACACACAGCCCCTAATGTGCTTTGCATAAAGGGAGCACGAACCATGTCTTTCCCGTTAAGCAACAGCCTCACAGTTGGGTGAGGGCAAATTTTTCTCTGGCCACGTGATATTTAGTGAATGAAGTGAGAAATATTGAAGTGCTTTTAAATGACACTAGCAGATAGGAGGTGATGCGTGTGTTACTGTGCGTTAACTTCTGTTCTTCCTGTGCTTAGGCTGAGAGYGAAGTAGCTTCCCTGAACAGGCGCATCCAGCTGGTTGAGGAAGAGTTGGACCGGGCTCAGGAGCGCCTGGCTACAGCCCTGCAGAAGCTGGAGGAGGCTGAGAAGGCTGCGGATGAGAGCGAAAGGTGGGCAGGGCCRCTCCTGGAGGCCTCATTACCCTCATGACGAAAGCGCTAACTGCCAGGGTGTGGGTTAGGGAAGTAGATTAAACCGCTCCTGTGTCTCTGGATGTGTGTCATCCACTCGAGCTTTAGTCGCGCCTTGTCTGGAGGGATGTCCTAAGTGTGTAGGCTTGAGTTCTTGTTCGTGCCCAGTTGTAAGGATCAGATTTACCTGGGGTAGGGTAATTCTTTTTTGATGTGATGTGTCACTTCCCAGGAAAACTGCCTGACCCAGCCCTGGCTCCTGTGGTTGGATGACGGGTCCTGGATGAGTGACTCTTAATGTTATTGTGTGTAGAAAATTCCACCTAGAATCATGAAATCGTGAAGGTTGGAAGGCACCTCTAGAGATCATCTGGTCCATCCCCCTGCACACGCAGGGTCACCTAGAGCACGTGGCACAGGGCTGCATCCAAGCAGGTTTGGAAGATCTCCAGAGAGGGAGACTCCACTGCCTCTCTTGGCAGCCTATTCCAGGGCTCTGTCACCCTYACAGAAAAGAAGCTTTTGCTTAAGTTCCTGTGGAACTTTTAGTGCTTCAGTTTGTGGCTGTTTCCTCTGGAGAACCACAAAGGGCTGAAAGAGGCTTTGGTTCTCTTGCTGATGAGATTTGTGCATGAAGGGTGAACGAAGGAGGGAGAGATGATGTTGTCTGAGTCTTATTTAGGCTGAGCTTTTCATAGGTGCTTAAAATGAGTTAGGAGTTCAAGACTTGCTGACTTTGGAAGATCCCGCATTKTATTTTGCAGCTCATTTCCTGCTTGTGAAAGAATCTTTATTTGTCAATGAATTCTAAGTATAATGTGCCCCTCTTCTTACCTCACTAACACTGCAGCCTATTTTCAAAAAAGTCTTGCTATTTCATAGGATGCTATGAGTCTATGAAGAAAGGGAATTTAATGCAAACTTGCRTGCAAGAGAGAATGTAAAATATTTCTTATTGTTAAAGGGTTAAAATTTGCTGGTGCAGAGCACAAAGAACTTGATTGCTCAAGGGCTCTGTTGTGACAGACCTCATGGGAGTCTGTCTGTCCCATAAAGATAGTATCYGTCAGTCCTGCAGGAATAGGTGCATGTCATCTCATAATGAGTGAAGAAGCACAGATGTCTCGAGTCATTTTATTAAATCTTTAGAAGCAAGATGGTTTTGATTTACTTCTGTATAAGATCTGTTTCTCCTGGACTTTAAAATGAAAAAGATGAGTCAGCTGGTTTCAAGTTTCTGGCTAGAGCTGAACTGTGGAAAGAGCTAAACAAATGACTCCAGTTTCCTCTTAAGTCATGCAGCTCTCCTTTAAACGTCCAGTGTGAAAGCCCGCAGGCCTAGACTAGAGCCCCTGGTCTGCAAAGTCAAGTGTCTAACGTGCTCATTCATCTTGATGTACCTCACTAAAAGACACAATCCAGTGGTAGCAGAGCTGAAGATAAACTGGCAAGCCCTGACCCTTGCATTTCCTGTTTTACTTGCCTTTCAGAGGAATGAAGGTCATTGAAAATAGAGCCCAGAAGGATGAAGAGAAAATGGAAATCCAGGAGATCCAGCTTAAAGAAGCCAAGCACATTGCTGAAGAGGCCGACCGCAAGTATGAAGAGGTCAGTTTTTGAACACAGGTCATCTCTTGTCTGTGGTTCCTTCTTTGCTTTGCCATAATAAGTTCARAAGATCATAAATGCCATTGTCTGCAGCTGCAGAAAAGGACCAAGTATTGGGTATCTCACAGAATCACTGAATGGTTGAGGTTGGAAGGGACACCCAGAGCACTGGGTACAGGGTGGCATCCAGGCGGGTTTTGAAGATCTCCAGAGAAGGAGACTCCACAACCTCCCTGAGCAGCCTGTTCCAGGGCTCTGTCACCCTCACAGCAAAGAAGTTCCTCTTCACATGGAGATGGAACTGCCTGTGTTGCAACTTACACCCATTTCCCCTTGTCCTGTTACTGGCCACCACTGAGAAGAGCTTGGCCCCTTCCTCCCTATATTCCCCCTTCATGTACTTATATTAATGAGATCCCCTCTCAGCCYTCTCTTCTCCAGGGAAAACAGGCCCYGCTCACTCAGTCTGTCCTCATACAAGAGCTGTTCCAGTCCCCTAATCCTCTTTGTTGCCCATCTCCAGGGGACAAGTAGGYAGCCAGAGATCTGCTCTTAGTCCTTTACACCCAGACCTCTTAAGGAGCCTCTCAAAATGAGGGAGACCGTAAACTGCCTTTTGGTGAATGGAGAAGAGATGCTGTGAAATATATCTGGTAATAAAGACCCGAATGAATAATGAAGATGTCTCCTAATCAAAACTCATGTGTTTATCCTTCAGCTAAATATGGGGAGAGGCCCAGCTGCCTGTCTTGTAGGTACTGGCTGCAGCAACGTGACGTCTGTGATTTCCCTTTTCCATAGGTGGCTCGTAAGCTTGTGATCATTGAGAGCGACCTGGAGCGGGCTGAGGAACGTGCGGAGCTCTCGGAAAGGTACATGCGGGACCTCCCCCGAGCGGCSTGTGAGCTGCTGCAGGACAGCACCTGTAACAGCATGAGACATTGGCAGTACACCGTGTGTTCAGCTCCAAGCTCTGTTCTGCTCGTTTGCTGTAATGGTTGAGACAGGTGGTCAGCACCAAAGTGAACGTGTCTGTGTGTGTGTTTGTGTGCGCGCGTGTGTTTTGTCACTGCATGCTGTACCTGCACACTGATTTTGTGAATGGCTTTTGTGCATTTCATGTGTCCACTAACAGCCAAGTCCGACAGCTGGAAGAACAGTTAAGAATAATGGATCAGACCTTGAAAGCATTAATGGCTGCAGAGGATAAGGTACTGATACTAATAAACAGTTCTTAGGTTTAACTGCATCCAGGTCTTTAAGCTTTCATAGCCAGTTAGCTCACTCAGTAGTAACAAATCAGTCCTCACTGTGCTCTTTGCTCCCTTTGCATCCTGCTTTGGTGGTTTTCTTTGGTCTCTTTTTTGTTGTTGTTTTTGTTTTGGTTTGTTTATTCATTTTTATCTTTACAACCAATCTCCTGTGCAGCCAAAAAGAAGCTGAACTGTCTCACATTTAAAGGCCATCTCAGTATTTCTRTGTAAGTCAAGAGCTATGGATAACGTGTGTCTGGTATTCTTAACACACTCGGAAGCGAATTTGGCATCGGAAAGAATTGCTTTCAATCTGTGACAGATTCAGCTGCTTTTGAGGCTGACCTTTTGCTCTATAATTATTTTCATTTTTCTCTATCTCTTCCCCCTATTTTCTCCTGTTTCTTTTGCTTGACTGAATCTTCCACCCGCCCCTTCCCTGCCTTCCTTCCGAAATAACAGCAAATGTGCTGAGCTTGAAGAGGAGTTGAAAACTGTGACCAACAACCTGAAGTCGCTGGAGGCTCAGGCTGAGAAGGTAGGCTAGAGACTTATGTGAGAATGTGTTCCTTAAGTTGTCACCTGGACTGCCCTGTGTTTCTGTAGCCTGGTGACTTTTGTATGCAGCACTTCAGCAAGGCCGTGTGTTGATAGAAGCATTTGGACTTACTACTCAATTCATGTTTGGCTGTTAGGAGCAACTAGAGTTCTTTCTAGATCAATAGATCAATCTATCTGAACACATCTCTGTTAAGCATCCAACAGCATTTATATAAACATACCTAATGCACTTTAAAATGGCATTTGGAGTATTATCTCAAAATGCCCCTTCTCTTTAAAGCTGTAGGCTTAATTTCTCCTCYGTACCCACTGCATAGCCCTTGTATATGACTCAACTAGTGTATAATTGTAATAGAATTTGTATGACTACAGTCTGGTAAGTGGAACTCAGTTCTACCCGTGTTTCTTTTATGCAGTTAATCAATTGGAAGGCAGTTATGGGTGTGATACCTTTGTATGTGTAGAGTGCCTGGTCTAATATCTGTGATTCTCTTTCTAATTACAGTACTCGCAGAAAGAAGACAAATATGAAGAGGAGATTAAAGTCTTGACTGACAAACTGAAGGAGGTAAAATTAGACCCATTCTTTACAGCACACCTTCCAACACTTCTGTGTATGTAAACCCTACTTGAGTTTTTGAAGATGAATTGTCATTTCTGAGACAATGAGTTTTGGTGTTATCTGTCTCTCTTGARTGTTTTGATTATTTCAAATCTATCTCCCATCATTGCACCTACTTCTCATTTGAATTTTCTTCTGTAAGTACCGTGTGTGTGTTTTTCCTAAAATCATGTGTATTTGTCTTGACTGCAGGCTGAGACTCGTGCTGAGTTTGCTGAGAGGTCAGTAACCAAGCTGGAGAAGAGCATTGATGACCTAGAAGGTAGGTTCCTTGTTCTTCATGCTTACTACAGAAATACAAATGTCATATTTTCCTATTGTTTTATTCATTACTCRATACTCTTGTTCAGTTTGTGCAAATGGGTCTGCTGAAAGAGTAAAATAATGCAAAATGTTTGCTAAATGCTTTTCAACCAAAACGTTTTGGTAACTTAAATGTTTCCGGTCAACAGTGTTTTGCTCTTGCCTATTTCTTTTCTCTGATGCTCTAAAGATGTCTTTCATTTGACTTTCTATTCTTTCACTTGGAAACGTATGCATATGCAAGGCAAAAGATTAGAGAAGTATTAGTAGCAACTACTTTATTTGCTTTAAAAGTTGGTGAAGAACAATGTTATGTTTGTTATAATTAGGAACATAAACTTAATTTATGACTGTAAAGAGGGCAGGTCAGGGTGAGCATTTCTTGGCAGAGAACAGTTCTAGCAAAGTTGATGGATTGTACCCATCGTCAAGAGGAGAACTCATTTAAGCAAAGAGGGATTGCTTGGGGGTTTTGATAAATCTTTTGCAACTACAGTACAATGCACTTTCTCCCCTAGTGCAARTAATTCAGTAGTACTGTGTAATTAAAGGTTAAGTTATATGGCAATTAGTTCTTAGGTATGTTACAGTGTCTGGGCTCTTAARCAACATGATTGCTGGGTAGAGCAATGAGCTTCCTTACGTGTAACCTGTAGGAAATACCTTGATAGTGATACTCAGGTGCTGAAAACTTTGGGAAGAAACGGAAGAAATCTGCGTGTTTCAGAATAAAAAATCTCTAGAAAAATCAGAGTTACAGAAGCAATGGGCTTTACAAGGCCCATTGGAAGATAAATGGAAGATAGAAATAAGTGTCTTCCTCGAGCCTCTCTTTCAGCTCTTCTGCCCCTGCTACCGACTCGTGCAGCTCGTGAGGGTGTCTCTAGTGGTTATTAGAGCAGGTGAAGCCCAAGTAGGGATAGTCGGGCATGTTTTCCTTATGCTCTTCATTTGCTCCCATCTTTCTCTTTGCCACAGGTCTCCCTGGCAGTTCAGTTAAAGAACTTGTCCCCAATCCCTTCATTCCKTTGTTATTATTACTCCCTAACTTTGCCTTTTGCTTCCTTCGCTGTCTGCTGCCACCCCACTTTCTGTGCGCTCTCCTCCCCTTTCCTGCTGCTTCCGGATGGTGCCTCATGCCACTGCCTTCACCTCCCATGCCACGGTCACGCTCCATGCCCTTGCTCACCTCCGCCTCCCCCTGGGAATGCTAGATGAGCTGTACGCTCAGAAACTGAAGTACAAAGCCATCAGCGAGGAGCTGGACCACGCTCTCAACGACATGACTTCCATGTAAATGTCTCTCCACTTGGTGCCTGCGCCCGCTTCCCTGCCCTCTTGGATTGCATGGCTCTGCCTTGGGGGATTTGTGCTCCCTTTCCTTAGTGGGAGTAGGGGTACAAAACACCATGAGCGGGTCCTTTACGGTGGCAGTGTGGCTCTCCCTAGCCTGGGAAGCACTCACGGTGATTTTGTAAGCTGCCCAGTTAGCATGTGTTGGCTCTTTCTCATTCCCTATCTGATCCTTGTGTGTTGTGGTTGCCCTTGTTGTCCTTCCGCTTTTATCCTTTCAGCTCACCTCGGTTCGAGGGGTTTCTCCCAGGCCCATTTCTTTTAAATTGCAGAAATATAATGACCTCAGTCCACTTTCTGCACAGGGTAGGTTGTTCTGCTCCCACAGTTCTCTGGAAAAGTCCTACCAGAGTTTTAAAGAAAAWTGTGGGAGTTGGCTCTATCATCTATTAATGCCAATGGAAAATGAGTATCTAAATTTCCTCAACTGCTCTGAAATTTTCAGTTGTTACTAAATTGTATGTGCAGAAGACTGAGAGCACTCRGTCATTTGAACCCACAGGAGTGACAGTTAAAGCAGAGGTTGTTTCTGTGAAGATTATTTGAAAAGCTGTATTTTGTGGGCAGTGGCAGTAAGTAACTTGCCCTGGCAGCAGCTTCAGTGTTGGCTTTAGCCACTGGGAATGGAAATGAGGAGCATTTTGTGCCGGAGCCACAGAAGGGCCCTCGGGCCGGGGTGCTCTGCTCAGGGATCAGCTCTGCTCCGAGTTCCTCTCCTCTGCRTGATCCCTGTGTGCTTGACGAGGCAAGGAGGGAGGCCTGGGGCTCTGCTTGTGTGGTGTTGAGCCCCAGCCTTTCCTTCCAAACCAAACACCCTTTCAGCAGGCATAAGCTTTGGCTGGAACTGAAAAGGCGTTGGGTTTTCCCCTGGTTTTTGCTTGTTTTCTTGCCTGCCTTTGGATCCCTACACCTATTCATCACTTCCCCTCTCCCCCAATCTCAGGAGCATCTAATGTCTGCTTTGCATCCTCATGATGTCCCAACATATGCCCAGCATATCACACCGATGGATCTTGCCCCCTCTGTCTACAGAGGTTACAGCATTTCTTGACTTTGAGAATCTCCAAATGGAAAGCAGACTTTACATTGCACTTGTGTGCTGGCCCATGAGGGCTTGCAGCAGCTTCCTGATCCGCATGGTGTGGTTATTTCCCTGCTTTCCCTGTGGTTGTTTCCCTGCTGGTCCCCTCGGCATGCCGGGCTCTGCCGTGCTCTTGCTCCCTTTCTGCGAGTCTTCCCCTTTTCATTTCCTACCTTGTCTCACTTTTTCTTTTCATGCAGATAAATTTCTTTGCTTCAGTTCTGCAAAGACATCTCCATCAGGTTGGATTAAACATCTTTCCAAGCTTTTGGATGTTTCATGGGCTCTCTGTCCTGTCTGCTGCCTTAGCTGACTCTTTCTAGCGCCCGTCTCCAACCATGCCCTGTTTGTGCTCTGCTGTACAGAAACTCCACATCTCTCAGTGTAAAATAAACATCCCAGCTGTATCCCTTTTGCTATCCCGGTGCCTTTTATTTATTTAAATAGCTGTTTTAGTCATAAATAAAAAAAAGTTGCTTTTTTGCCACTAGGGACCTAACTTTTGCTGTTTTCGCTTTTTTCCGCAAACCCTTCTGCTTAAATGTTGACAGTGCAAAGCCAACAATATCAGCATAAGGGAGGAGATGCTGTTCCTGGTATTTTGAGGCTAATGCTGACCAGTCACCATCTTGATCTTAAGTTACGATGCAGACAAAATGACGCCGAGATTTAATGGGATTTTATTTATTTATTTATAGCCTGTTATTTTTGGGCCCAAACCCCAAGGACGCTGCTCCCTTGGGGTCACTTGGTTGTGGGAGCAAGGCTGAGATAGCAGCTGAGCCCTCGCCATTAAGCTTTTCATTTTAGAGTTCACATTGTCCTCCTAGCTTGACACTGAAGATTTCCTGCTTTTTGTTTAAGTGTCTGTTTTTAAAAAGTCCTTTTCCTAGAGAAGTTAAGAAGTAATAGGAAAAGCTCAGCATCTCTCCCCTTTCTCCCAGTAGTGGTTACTTGGGAGGGCTGCTGCTTCTTACCTTTTTCACCTTATGCTTTAAAGTCAGCAGGGAGATTCCAGTAGCTTTTCAGTCTTGTGCTTAGCTCAGGCTACAGGGCAAAGTGCAGATTTGTGAGGGATGTTTCAAATCTGGAATAAGGAACTTGTCATTGCATTGCTCCTGAAAGGAACCTGCTGCCCACAAGCGTGCTGGTTTCGGGTTGGAAAGCCCAGGCAGTGGATTTAGGGTGACAAGGCAGTGTCCAAGTATGAAACATTAAATAGTGACACCTGTTATTCTTCTATGCTGTTATATAAAGCTGGATTGCAACTAGAAAGATGGTTATTTTTAATTATTACTAACAATGACATCTTCCTTTACAATGGAAGATGCTCTTTTCCAGTTTACATGAAAGCAGCTTCAGTTCAGTTGAGTTAATATGAAACTTACTGTGCTTACTGTTAAGTTCCAAAGCCACAAGAGCTGATAAACTCTCAGCACATTGCACTGAAGTGTTAATTTAGCGTATAGAATAATGTAACTGGCTTTCTTATTCTATTTTAAAACACAAAATTACACCCTTGAGCAATTCCAATCTGGTCTACTTTTCTCCCCCAACCCTGTTGTCCAAGTCATGTGTGAATGGGTCCATCTCTTCCCTCAGATAACATCATCTSATTCCAGTTTTTTATCCCCTGGCATCTGTTTCTTTCTGGTGTTGCAGTGCGTGGGAGGCAGCACGAGCATGGGGTGCAGATCAGCAGCTGGTAACTTCCCACTCGTGAATCAAGGTGTAATGAGGACGTGTTTGCATTCAGTGCATTGAAGCTGCAGAGTCCAGTGTTTAGCAGGCAGCTTAACCAGGAGTATTTTGGCATTTGTGGCACAACTGAGGGTAAATGTGCTTCACTTGACCCGAGCTCTGTGCGTTGTGCCTGCCGCCAGCTCCTACACCTGTGTGAGCAGGAGGCCACCACATGGCCTTGTCCCTGGGCTGTCACAAAAATATGCATAGGTTGAAAAGGCAAAATGATGGAAAGCCATCGGAGACCTTTGCTTCCCTCAGGAACAGCTCTTAACGTCACTGTCGTGAGGCAGCTGTAGGTGTTTGATGGTGATGGTGACCTGTGCTCTTGGTTGCCTGTACTGGGCAGCACAGATTTCCACRCTACCCTTTCATCCACCTTCAGCCTGTTTTGTGTGTGTCGCGTGGGGTTTTGTCTRTTTTTTTTCAAGTGCCACCAGGCAGTTTCAGGCCTCTCCACCCTAGTAGCACAAGCAGCTGCCCTGGAAGGGGCAGCGCGTGGAGTGTGAGGTTCCTCAGTGGAGGTGGGAGCTGTGCACGCCAGGATGCCCCGGGATGCGCCGGGAGCTGCGGAGAGGGAGCCCTGGGATCCCCGGGATGCACCGGGAGCTGCAGAGAGACCTCTGGGATCCCCTGGTGCTGCAGAGCTCCGGGATGTGCCAGGAGCTATGGAGAGGCCTCCGAGAGCCGTGCTCCGATGCCGCTGCCTTCCACCAGCCGAGATGAGGGTCCCAACACAAGAAATCATCCATAAAGCAAATTTACTCTGCATTATTCCTAAGCGTGCGGCCAGGTTTAGTCCTCCTAGGGATGTAGCTGCAGTTCTTCTATTTTTAGGATTTTAGCATCCACCTTGGGTTATAGCAGCAGCTCCTTGGAGCAGCTATTTAGTTGCTCAAGTTCTAGAGACAAAGGTAACGTGTTTCTCTGTATGTGACTAGTTACTGTCTGTGGTGTGACCAGTTTCTTTATTAACTCTTACTTACCTGTTTTCTCTGTCTAATCTGTCTTCATTCTGCCTCTTTTTTTCCTTCTAACCTGCTTGCTGCCTGTACAGACCAACTCTACCAGCAACTTGAGCAAAACAGTCGCCTAACTAATGAACTAAAGCTGGCGTTGAATGAGGATTAAGCTTTGGTGTGACTATCTTGTTAACTTGTTTAAAAACTGCTTCTTCCAAAAGCTCCTCAAGAATGAATTAGTAAAGGTAGAAAGAAGCAAGAAACCTAGAAATTGATTTTTCAGGATGTTGGTTCTGTGGCAAATTGAAGAAATTCCCAGTTTATGTTGGAAAAAAATGTAAAATGGAAGTGCTCCCTCAAATGAAGCTGTTTGCCTATTTGCACTACTGCTTTGGAGGAGCTGTAGGCTCCTGCTTGGGCTGTGTGGCAGCTCCTTTCCACGTGGTACCAGTTACAGCACTTTTAACCARCAGTATCCAAGGAGTAACCACCTTCCTTCTAGAGGGACAAGTGATTTAACTGGTGCCACAACTGGGCCTGAGAGCCCTGCTAGGAAGGGAAGCGGGTGGAAGCCAGGATTYAAGTTTCAGACGCAGTATAAAGTGCATTTATGGCTGTTGTGTCTCTGGAGATGGTAATTCATCCCTTTTGCATTACTGTAAGAGGGACTCTTGTTTGGCTAAAAGCAAGGAATGGGAGCTCCACGTGCAAATCCCTGCTCAGTTTGAAGGTTTGCTTGCAGTAGCGTGAAGTGACATTATTATGGGGTTCTGGTAAGATGCAGCTCTAGAACATTGTGCTCATTTACTGTGTCATATAAGTGTGTTAATTGACTGTAAAAGTGTGCATGCAACATAAAGCTACTAACTGCGTGGAGTTTTTTGTATTTCATAGCAAAAATGAGTTAATTTTCTCAAAAGTCACTTGATTGAAGGGGATGGCTGTAGTCTTTTTTAGTTCTATGCAAATTCACAATTCCATGTGCTTAAAGCATGGAACTGCAAAGAACTTGCATGTGTTTTCCGTTCTTATTGCCCTACTTTAAAAAAGTAAATAAATAAGAATTAACTTGCCATTCCACATTCCTATGGGAGAGCTCCCAGAATGTACAAGAACATCATCTCTGGCAGTGCATTTTCTTTAAAAATGCAGCTGTGATCAGTCAGTTCCAGCTTGCATTACTTGCAGGTTGCTTTGTGCATCTGGAMCCCTGCCTGTTGGGCTGGCTGGGGGGTATTTGATTTATTTCTGAGCCTTTATGAGCATGCACATTTTTCCCTTTGGGAGCGGTGCCTGCATGTCTTCGTGTTCTGAGCAYGGGTGCCTCCATAGAACTGCTATTCACGTTGTAATTTTCTAATCCCACAACAGAGAAAGTGGCGCATGCCAAAGAAGAAAACCTTAGTATGCATCAGATGCTGGATCAAACTTTACTGGAGTTAAACAACATGTGAAAACCTTCTTAGCAGCAACCACATTACTGTTTTATTATTATTTTTTTTTACACCTGCTTGCCGTGAAGCCCCATAAACATGTCTTTATTTTAGTTTCACCACAGTCACGAGAACATCTGCTAAATGATCAGGCAGGGGGGTCAGGGAAACACCGAAAAGGGCAAGCCGGATGCGGGTTAAGCGATGACATTACGGTTTCAATGTGCCATTTCCCCACAAAATGTTACCTACACTTGGTAGAGAGTTGAGCAATTCGGTGTGCCTGGATGGGAGGAACCCTGGCTGTGGCAGAAAGTGCCCGCCTCAAGTGCCAACCGCAGTTTTTGTCACCGGGATCGATCCACGTTCGAGAAGGATAAGGTGGAAATGGTGCTATTCTAACCACTGAGGTCTTGTTTGCTCTCACACAAGTCAGGGGCTTGACCAGCACGGTAACTTATTCCATTGGCGTTTATTGATCGGTGAGGATTTGGACTTTCCGTGCCTTCTAATTCCATAAAAGGAAGGATATGTCAGACACACCAAACCAAGGGCTTCTGGAGGCTTGAACCGTGTGCTCGCAACTCCTTACACAAGTGTAGGCCAGCATTTCACCCCGAGTATTCGTTCCGTTGTATTTTTCATGTTGAAATGAAAGATTCAATAAATTCAGGAGAAAACAAATTGGGTAGAGATTGTTTTAAAATGTATTTTATTTGTGTGGAGTCTGGGGGAGGGGGAGGAATTTATAAATCGTTAATCGCCTCACTTTATTTTTCACACTTTCTTTTGAGCAGTTTCAAAAGTATGCCTGTATGTATACATTGTATAATGATATGGAATAAAATGCACATTTTAGGACATTTTTTAAACGTTGCTCTCCTGTGCTCTGTTTCCCCTCACAGGTTATTTTCTGTCTGTGTTGCTCTGTGCAACAGGCGCGTGCGCCGTGTGTGGGGTGTGGGCTCAGCACCCCGGTTCCGAGTGTCCTCGGGTGTCTATGGAAGTGCCACCAAAGGGCTGGATCTGGGCTCGTGGGAGAGCTTGGGGGGTCTCCGAGGGCCCCGTGTCCGGAGGCAGCCCTGGCACCTGCTGCTGGCTCCGTGTCCTTCCGAGCCCGGGAACAACCGGCCGCAGGGGCTGCCTGAGCTCCTGGGTGATTGAGCTCCTGGACTGACCCTGAGCAAGTCTCTGGTTCTCGAACAACCTTCTGCAAAGSGGGGGCTGTTGCAGTTGATGTTACACAACTTCACAACAGGAAAATAAAAGCCAGTCCCAAGGAGAGCTGGAGGGAGCAGCCACCGTGGTGCTCAATGGCCCTAAGTGGCCTGCTTGGCTGCCAGCCCCCAGGTGTGTAAATAAGGGTGCGTATATATTTRCTGGAGCAGGAAAATCTGTTCCTAGCATATATCACAAGCCACTTACTGCTACAGGTTTTTTCCTGAGGTGCCTGATTAGATGAAAATTGGTGAAGCTAGAAAGCATTTTGCTTGTAAAAATAGATAAATAAGGCTTTGATTTAACCCCATTCCAAGCAAAGAGGAATTTCTCTCACTGCAGCTACTTGATCCAAAACAGTGCTCTGAAAATGGGTGGCATTCCAGGTGTCGGCAGCATGTAGCCGTCCCGAAAAGGTCTGTCCTGGTGCAGGGTTGAACTCGCCCTGTCCTTGAGGGCAGAACCGCGTTGGGCAGCCGGGTTGGGAGCAGGGCTGCRGGACGGAGCCGGGCGCCTCTCCAGCCCCTGCAGACCTGGCTRCTCCTAGGGMAAGGAGCAGCGCTGAGCGCCAGGCCAGGCCTAACCTGCTGCCTTGCAGATGTGCTGCTTGTAAACAAGGCACAGCCCTGGATTTGGGGGCTTTGGGGTTGGCTTTTGCCGTCTCTTGGGCTTTTGGTGATGCGTAGTGATGTGCAAGGGATGCTGTGCGCCTTTTCTTCCATAGGGCATTTTCCTGCATTCACTGGACGTGCAGAAATGTAATTTTCTTTCAGAATTCTGTCCCTTTGCAGCCAAGCCTAGTCCGTCAGTTCARGAGTTACTGAATGAGGCAAGCGCAAATCAGAGCAATGTACGTGACCCTTCAAGAAATAAGGTTAAAGTATCTGAGCATCCCTGAGCACCCCCACCCTGGAAGGGCTGTGCAAGCCAGCCCACCGCTGCTGGTAACGAAAATCRGAGTTAAGGTTGCAAACTTCATTGGGCTGTATTGTAGGAATGTGTTACATGGAGCTTGCTATGAATGGTGCAATATCTGTCAGAAGAAAATCAGCAAAAGAAAATAAGCTGGCTAAAAAGTTTAAAAATATATTTATATGTCAATCACTCCTTAGTGGAACATTTTTTCCTTCTTTTAATGATAATAAAAAAAGAAATCTCTGAAAGATTATGTAGGAATTGCAGCAAAAAGGCCAAAGTTGTAAAGAAAATACAAATAGTAGTTTTCATCTTTATGGGCTTTTTGAGAACGTGCAGAGTAGTAGTTATTTTTAATGAAGGAAAGCTGTGTCATCTTCCTCCTCCAGCGCGCATTGTCTTCCTTCCAAGAATGCGTGAGGGAAAATCCATTTAAGTTTGCATAAGCCTTGGCGCCGGTTCCAAAGGCGTCGCGTTTGCTGTAAGTCCCAGTCGTRCTGCTCCGTAAGGCGTTCCCGGGTGTTACGTAAATGCAGGATGCCCCTCGCAATGAAGGGAGCTCAGTGAGGAATGTAGGTGTCTCAGCTTATCTCTATGGGAAGGGAAAAGTGGGAGGCAGWAGCAGGTAAAAGTCTGCAAAGTGAGAGGCTGATACAGAGAAAATGCCAAATGCTTTCTAAAATTAAAAGTTGAAGTCCGTGCAACGTTTCCAACGCTCCCAAAATCTGATTGTGGAACATAAGAACTCTGAAACCTCTGAAAAAAGATCTGCCTTTTATTAACGATCGTGTGTTGCGTTCAGATCTAGATCGTGTGTTTGTTAGATGGTTTRCTTGTACTGTAGGGAAAAAATTTGTTCCCATTTTATGTGTTTTTACCTCATTCCAAGGATGACCGAGCATTATGYAGTGCTTTGGGTTTGAATGTTCTGTCCCTAAGAGTCCCTCGGCGCTGATTTGCTTTTGGGGAGTGCCAGGTAAGCCTTAAACCACGTCTCTTTCCTAAGAAAACCTTCAGCCGACACTTCACACGCAGCAGACAGTACCACGTACACATCCAAATGTGGGTGTAAACTTCAAGGCCTCCGTAAGTAGCTGTCACCTGTTAAAGATAGATTTGTATTGATATAAACACTGAGATTTGTGTTGATATGAACACTGAGATGTCTGTGGCAGTTGTATTTCTAGTTGAAAAGGGCATTTTTACATGACCGCCAGTAGCTTGTGTGTTTTTCTCGACAGGAACACCAGTTAGAGAAACAGCCTGGGAAAAAGTCTGGGAAAACACTGGAATCTCCCCTGGGTTCCTCTGTTGTGTAGCCAGCAAGGAGGAGCCTGCCAGAYTCCTTCCCACTTAGCCGGGATTGCTCTTCCCTTTCGTTACTTGTTTATTGCACAAAGCAAGGTGCACAGAGTGGAAAACAGAGTGGTGGGAGGGATGAGACCGTTTCTGCAGCCCATCCAGAAAGAAAACGCATCCAGAAAAGGTGATAAAGCAGCTCGCAAGGCAGCGGTCGGGGAGCTAAGGCCTCGGGCAGAGCGCGGCTGACCAGAGGTCCCAGCGTGTGAATGGGTGAAGCTCCTTCACCCCTTTAGTTAGCTAAAGGTTACCAAAGGTGTCTGCTTCTCTCATACAGGCAGCCAGTGTGCGTGTCGTGATAGGGACATTTCCTGGGGATAAATGGGCTGTGGGCACGAGATGCAGCCTAGGGGACCTCTGCTTCCCCAGGGTGCACGTGCTCGGGCAGCTCACAGCAGACCTGGGTGCATTTGAATCCTTTTTTTTTGTCCATTACTTGCTATTAAGTTGGGATTGAATTAGGGAAAATCAATATAATCCAACTCAAATTGGGTTGAGGTTTTTTTGCTGAGGTTTTTCTGTCTTTTTAGGTGAATTTATTTACCTGTGGAGCCAAGGCCTGGCTGACTGAGCCTTAGTCAAACAGCTCCRTCAGTGCAAAGGTCTCAGCGTTGGACAACGGAGCTTTACAGGATCATTGCACACGGAGAAGTTGCCCTTCTCGTGTCAAAGCTGCTAGGCCTTTAGCTGCTGTGACATTAATAAGTAGATTAAAAAACAAACAGCCATCAGTTAGGACTGCAGTGATACATTGCATTTTCTACTAGAGACTCATGTTCAAATGTGCTAAACGTGCAGTAGCTTTTGGTGCTCTCAACAGGGCATTGGGATGCTGTGTTAAAGGTTGGAGATTTCAGAATCTCCCTTTAAAATGAGATATAATAAGAAGTCCTGACATGTGTGTTCACAATTCCTCTTTCTCTGATGCCCATTTAGCYTTTGAGGCAATACTGAAGAAACTGCTCTCTCTACTGCTGTGTGAGCAGGTAAACCAAAGCGTGGCATTTTGTTCCACAGTCATGGATACATTTCTCAGATAACGTGGGGATTTCCCTCAGTTTCTGTTTGGTTTCCCTGATGAAGAATTCACCAGAACACCAGCTGTCTGGGTAAGAAATGGTTTTTACTCACACCTGCTGTCTACATCTGTCAGGCACCGAGTCGAGTAGCGACTTGTTAGCGTTCATTACACCCCTTGGGAAAATTGCTATCACCCATCAAGCAGAGCACAACTTCCCCTGCAGCATCGGTGCCTCCTCAGCTTGGTTCTCTTGGGGTGGCTTCATCCAAGCCTTGATAACCTTCTCTCTGCAGGATCATCGCTGGTGGAGATGATGGGCTGAAGAGAATCCAGGCTGAGTATCAGGCCTTAGCATGAGCTTGCAGCTGGTGAAACTGGTCTATTGAGTAACGTTGGATCCTCCCATAAATTGCCACTGT